TAACGTTTAGCAATATTTAATGATATTTTTAATATGATTTTAATTTGGTATTTTATTATATGTTTAATTAATTTGGTATATTTTAATAAACATGACGCGCTGACTTGTCTTGCGCTGAAATGTCGTATACGTTGATTTGTCTTGCGCTGAAATATCACCGCTGAATTTTCTTGCGCTAAAATGACCGCGCTGAATTGTCATCGATCCATATTTCAGGAAACAATAGTATTTATTAATGATTTTATCATATAATGGTCGAATAAAAATTGAAAGTTTCAAGGTGGAATAAAATACTCTGAATTGAGTTAATAGAATACCAGATACCTAGTACTAAAGGTGCAATACCTACCTAATCAAACCACTAACAAATCTATATACCTAGGCGTTCCAATTCCAATCATATATAGACCTTCGATTTCTCACTTCTGTACCCTGTKACATATTCAACGATGCACTGTATAACAACCTAAACATTTAAACAGTTAGACAATCAGCTTCTAATCACTACTCTAGACTCCATTTTCAATTATCTATACACCCAAACCCAAAAATTTTCTCAATTTCGTGAAAAACTATCCCTAAGAACCCAATGCACYGTTTGAAACGAAAATGGACTAATACCTATAAATCCGCAATAAAATAGGTTGCGTACGAGTTGATTCCGGGGTCATAATATATATATTTTTTTCAATATTTAATCAAATATTATGCTGAATATTAGCGTAACCCAATAAACACCTACTCGCTATCAGATTGGCTAACAAGTTTCTCAAAAATGTTGTTTATTTTAATTTTTTCAAATTATAAAAAAAAAATATTGATAAAAAAATGTAGTGCCTAGGTAAAAGATTATTATCAAAAAATCTAGTTATTTGGTAAAAATGTATAACACATTGATTTTAAAAATTGGTWTGTGGTCATGAGATTACCAGTGTACCGTGACATMAATTCTCTTGAAAATTTTTTTTTTTTTATGGATTTTCTTAGATTTTCTAGTCACATTGCACAAGAATTGATTGCCACATTTTACAGATTCTTCTTCTGTCATTAACATG